ACCGAAGCTGTTTTCATTCCTTCACTATAAAGAGCAGTTTTAACCAGTGTCAAGATTTATAGACCTGTGCTACAGAGAATCTACTCTTCTCTGGATCTGCGAAGTGTCTGTATTACTTTAATTGAGAACTTTTTCCCTGTAAACGTAAAATTTACTTCTGTGGGCGGGAGACGAAGCAGGAAAAATAAAAATGCGGTGGCGAAAATACTGTCCGTATTTTGCATCAGACTGAGAACAAAAAGCTCGAGTTCGTGATTGTATCGGAAAGTGAGCAGCAGAGGCTGAGCTGAGCGTTTAAGGAATCTTTACATCATTCAAATGTTCACGATGTTCTCAGAATTCGCCTATTTCCATTCTTCCTCTTTCTTTTTATTCAATTAAAACAGACGTTTCTACTATTGGAAAACTAATGCTGAGGTAAATGAAGGCGTATAAAGCACATTATCGCTAAAGTGGTCATCATATGATGAAAGCAATCAGTTGAAAACAATTACATACTTCCGTTGTAGTAATATGCAAGCCGGTCGTCATTCAGTTGTAGTCTTTCTAGTGAAAAACGCAAGAACCTTGTAACAAATTTTCATGTATAACAATAATACGTATAGGTCGCTAAGCATCATTCGAAGCTAGTAGTAGCTGACGCATAATTTGAAGCGACACGGAAGTGGTTGGTTTTCGAGTACTGAAAACTATAAATTCATTCCTAGATTTCTTATTTTCTCTTTTCTCCAATTTTTGCTTATACATAAATATATATATATCATGCTTATGTATTCCAAAAAGGTACAACACTTACTTTGCCTAATCGTTCTTCTTGGCAACAACATAGGTGCTAGTTGTACTGGCTCATCGACATAAGTCCGAGAACTCAAGAAGTATGGATCTTCCTGAAATTTTATGGGATACGATATAAGAATACTTATTTATTGTTAGGTAAATAGTAGAAGAAGGTTGGTGCACGTATGCTGATCAGTCCTCAAATTCTTACTAACCCTTGTTCACGTATACAAAATTAGATATTTTTGAAAATGTATTCCGGCGAAATTACTTAGCGTGCACTGACACCTGCTGAAATATGCACTAGAGAAAATAAAATAAGAGCAAAGAACAGTTGAAATTTGTCATGGTATCGTACAAAAAGGTGCGTAAAATTTCTATGCATGAGTCGTATATGATTCACACATTAATGAAAGTTGGCCAGCCAGCATCTACTCATTCATCTTTGAAGCATACAACTTGGCTTAATTGGACTCTACAGATTGAAATAAAACCTACTAGAAACTAGCAGTCATTACAGGATAAATAAACGGAATTTTAATAAGAATTCTTTCTTTTATTCTACGGCAGAAAGAGAAGGGTGTGTTTTCCTCTGAGCATTTATATCTGGTGAACAGGACTCACCAGGAACCGAGCATCCACGATGTAACCAGCAATAAATACGGCCATCAGTGCCAACAGAAGCGTTCTCACCATTCTGTATTACCTCAAATTAAGAGGTTTAAAAACCAGAGTCAATTAAATAATTATCTTAAAAATATCTTGGGGTCGTAGTGACCAGTTAGACAGTTTACTTAGCAGTGTTATCAGAGTAATTAGTTTTTTTTTGAAGAAATATCTATCAACAAAAAACTAGCGAATGAATGAGAAAATTGTCGAGGAACAGTTGAAAAGAAGGATCAGTATGGTAGTTCGTTTCTGAACATGGAGGCGAATCTGGTGAGTGATGTCATAGTAGATTATTCAAATAATTTGTTTTTGCTTGTAATCAAACTGGTTGTAGCTCATAGTTGATATCATTGATATTAGTAAGTTCAGTCGATAATACCATGCTTTGTTAATAATGATTTCTTGTGTTGCAATATCGCTTACGTTCTATTCGTCACTTTTCTTTTATTAGACATTGTCCAAAACAAACATATCACTAATATATTTAAAAGGGCGCAGGTAGCGCAACAGTTAACAGTGCTCTGTGGTTGCAGGCGTTTAGGTTTTGGTTCTTTCCAACACCCCTGTTAAAGGAAGCTCTGCACCCTCTGGTGGTAGAAAATTATAATTTGATTGATCGGTGAGCCACTAGAAGTTATTGTGTACGTCAAATATGCATTCAGCAATCTCCACGATGCTCTGTGAAGTCGAATGCATGGCGCATCCATCAGGATTTGATCACCGCCAAATCCTTTGTCCTTTTCGTAACTGAATGTATTCAGAATTTAAAATTTCTATCTGTGTTATGGTGAACTGGTAGAATTTGCAGTGAAATTTATGAAATTGAACACTCCAACGACAATGACGCTTTACATTAGTGAATAACATAGGCACTGAAAACGCTTCCATTTGAAATTAACATAACTTTCTTCGGTATTATGAAATTTTAATGAAAGCGGAATTGATTATCATCTATCGTATTTAGCAATCTGTTTTACTCCTTTATTAACTAGCCCTTAACGACTGCCAACTGACGGTAATTTCTCTATCACTAGAGAATATGAGAGGTGAAAACCATCACAGATTTATGGAAGAGGCTTTTCTCTATCGCTTTAATCATACATATAGCTGTTATAAAATGCTCATATAGCTTTGAGTACATTTCGAATCCAAATTCCTAAAGAATACGAAACGAAGTTCAGAGCGTTAATTTGCAACGAAGGGACGATAACCGCAAGACCAAACAGTATATCTTGCTCGTTCAATTGTTTCCGGGTTCAATTACAAGCTTCAACAAAAGAAAAGATGAAATGTCAGTGAAAAAAAGTACGTTTCCTGGGCACGAGGAAATCAGAACCGCAGGGTGGTAAAAGAGTAATGTTTGTGTCTGAGATATGTAAATTCTACTAGATTTTATCTCATTTTGTAAAATTCACTATGAGCTTAAATAAACTGGCTAACGCTTGAAGGCGGCCATTAACCACATGCATTGAAATCAGTGCATATAGATTGATATGTGTTGAAAAAGCTCCATAACCATAACAATAAAGAATTAGATCTTACTACATAAAGCAGATCTTATTCCAAACAGTAAACAGTGTTAATTGATCGCTCTAATTCTAACTATCTGTCATCTAATGAACTCCTTGAGCATGAGGACGATTTTACACTACAACTTACTTTCGTAAATTATCAATAAGAAATTACACAATAACATTTTACCGGATGGAGCCAATGGAGAAAATACAAAATAGATAAGCGTTCCATAAATTACACAGGAACGCACGACTGCAAGTAATGGAATATTTAGCTCGTTACAAAACGGAAGACTATCAACACAAAGTTCCCATGGAGAAAAGTCTTCACACGGGAAAGTCTATTTATAGTGTGTGATAACGTTGAAGGAAGCCCATGCGATTGCTGGTTGCTCACTAATTTTTTTTTATAGAGATCTCACAAATTGGTGGGTTTTATCAACTTTCAAGATCACTTAGTGGCCTACAGTGTGCCGCACATTATGTTGCAAAGCTGGACAGCATATTTAAGTGTTTTCTTACAAAAAGACGGTGTTCGATCGGTTGAAATATTTTGCAATGAGCACAGTGTATACAGTACATATTAGATGTGTCACTGAAGCAACAATATGCACGTGGTGTACCACTGACTATGATTTTGCTTAACTTAAGCATTGAATATCAGCGGACTAGGTACAGAGAAAATATTAACGCTGGAAGGCAATCGGATGTTAGTTAGGGAAATGCTTCGTTGTGAGTATTATGAGAATCGGCTATCAGCAAGCGGAAAGAACAAAAAGAGCATGAGTGAACGACGATATGTTTGAATAGAGAGCTATTTTGAAGCACTGCCTTCCTATAATAGGCGGAGCAATGGATGACGTTGTAGATTCAAGAAGAGATTGGCCCATCGTTATTAGGCTAATAATGTAACTACTAAAATTGCATTGTCACCTTGATTATGAAATAAGAATAACTAGGCTTATTACATTCTCAATGTTTCCCGTTCAAACATCGGTAAGCAGTCATTGAGCACTTCATGATGTTGTACAGCTATTGGCTGTCCAGAAAATGAAATCCAAATTAACTAGCATCTCCTGATATAAGCTTCAGCGCCTCGCCTCAGGAAGCAGAAATCTTTCTATGAATTCATATTAGATGCCTTACATTCAACAAGCAGTGGTTGCGTATTCTTGCCTTGATATTTCACAAGCGTTAATGTAAACGTGACTGTTAACAATATTACGTAGACCAAATCACCAGCTGTTCTATGGTATCATAAGCCCAATTCATAATTTCCCTCCTGTGTTTTCGATCTTCACCATGGTGAGCTTTGTAGCTGTTTGTGAGACTTTAATATACACCTGTGGGGTCACTACCTAGCAAGGTAATGAAGGAGTTCGGTATTTTCATAAGAATGGGCCTATCCCGCAAGTGGTACTTACCTGGAAGGAATCCAATCCTGGAATCACATTACGATAAACCTCTCTTGAGTTCATTTACAACGGCGATTGGGTTTGGTGAAGAACTGAGAACGCTCTGATAAGATGATCTCGGAACTCTAGGGCTCTTCAAATATGAGCCACTCAAGTGTCAACTAAGTAAAGTGATTCATATTTAATCATCGTGAGCACATAAGAAACCAGATTTTCGCTTTGCCTGTTGTGAGTGATATGAGCGTTGATGTAAACACATTTATTCCTACTAAAAGCGTTAAGAACGGCTAACATCAATTTCATGAGTAAAATGTACGATTCTTTATGTTTAATGGCTGTACCTATGCTGTTTAACTAATTGAACAGGGTTTGCAATATGCTTCAGTTCTAAAATGTTTCAATGTCGTATTTGCTGAGATCGTCACTGAACGGGTAGATGGTATACCCGGTTGAATTGCAGTGTGCCCAAATGGCGTTGATGTCACCTAAAACGTGAAGCGAATCCGTTCCGTTGATGTCATATACGTCACGAGCAGCGAATCCAATTAGGGAACTCTCATTTCGAGATACTTGTAGCATCGTAAATCTGAAAATGGTAAAGTCAACAGCAGGTGTTGCATTGACATTATGCGACGAACCTGTTGTTAGGAACAGAACCGACGTAGACGAATGGGACAGTGACGCCGTGAAGGCACATCGTCTTTACTTCGTGCAACGAATGTAAATGCGCAAAAAATACGGCTACCCTTTTCCGTTGTCCTAGCGCTCTCGTCTCGTAAATCCTGAACGATTATAGTTTGTCTGAAGTTGATTAATTGAAATCCATAGACTCTACCAGTCAGCAATCGTCTCCCGCATTTTTTCCAGGCGAGTTCCTTCACACTGATGCATATTGATTAGAATCGGTATGTCCATATCCTGTAATATATTCTAGTGTTAAATTACATTAACAAAATCCATGCGCGTCACAAAGGTTTCAACCATTAATTAGGTTCATTATAGTTGCCAAAGATTTGTGGTGAAAGGAGATTTTGAGGGCATTGAAATGCAATTACCTTCAGCAGCTTTAATTCTCTTTTGAGAAAATCCATTGCTGAATTCACTTTCCAGTCAACGAAAAGTGATGAAAACCTTGTTTCGTAATCGACGGCATTATTTAGTTGAATTACTTGAGCACAGTTTTTTCCTAAACAATTTGGAATCTTCGCCTGTAGGTGTGAGACAATTAAAAGTACCAATAATTCCAAACTGACATATTAGAACACAAGTGCTATATACTAATTTTAATACAAAGGAAATTCACACACCAGTTACGCTGCAGACCCTCGTCGAGTATGCAAAAGATCCGTCATACGTGACATCAAACGCGGATTTCACCCATCGACGGTAGTCCAATTCTAGTGACATATTCTTACCGTAGTTCGTAAACCTAAGCATTGGAAAAACATTGTAAGGTCGAGAGCGTTGTTGGCTGGAATGCGATTGGTATTGAATAAAAGTGTGAAGGCGTTGGATTTCCGCCTATGACGTCATCGGTAACGTCGTCTGCTTTATCTAATTCCGTTACCACGTCATCATAGTGTGCGCACAGAAGTTGAAGGCGCAGTCGTTGACGTTGTTCTCGTAGTCGTGATTGCCCAGACCGATAAGGATTGGAACACCGAACGACCTCATCCAACCTGCCTAAATAGATCGTTCAATTTGGTTGCTGTCCAAATTGTACTGCAGCTCTGTATGTGACACGTAGATGACAAAAACATGCGAACCGCGTCATTCCATTAGAATCTAAATTGCTGCTTGCGTTCCAACATACCCAGAAATCAATGGGATCTCTTGGTTTTAAAAGAAACGATGGCATGAGAGGACGATAGTAAAAAATATAAACCTCTTCTACAGTTTCTATTCTCAAAAAATCTCTCCAGCTTTTGGTTCGATGTTACAGTGCATGGTAACGGGTTAAAACTACCATGTGTATGACCCTAGTCATGCTCACTGTGTGGTAATTAAAAGTTAGCTATGTTAGACTAACATGCAGTGTTACACCGGTTTTCAGTATTTCCGAAGGCTTTGTAAATTAATTTTGAATTAGGCAATCTTGTTTTACATAGTTTTTACTATGCGCTACCCGAAATCACATATATTGTACAGATCCCAATAGTCCTTACATTCGATCCGATCGCTTATATCCGTGCTGCCCAAAAATCTTTAGACTTTTGAACTTGGATTCAGCTTTGTTCGAAAATTTTTAACTTTCTTTATGAATGTCTTTGAATGCAGATCGAGCCGTTTCTCACTGGAATTCTGGGATAGTCACGCAAGGAAGTTACAAGGTCTTCGTCATAAGCAGACACGAGCTTTTGTGTAGGGAGGGAGAGAGCTAATCTAAGAGCAGTCTGGTACCTATTGCGAAGGCGTGAGAACCCTTATCAGGATAGGTAGGATTGCTAGGTTTGGTACTGGATCGAACGATAAAGTTTTAAATATTGAACAGTGTGTCGTTTTCTTGTTCAGCAATCACGAGGTTTTTAAACAGCATACGTTTACTTCCATAGAAAAACACAATACAATACAACGCTAGCTGACGTTTCGGCAGTATCGCCTTCTTCAGTCGTCAACCACATGCGACTATAATCAGCTGTTCTAAACTTCCTCATTGGAAGTCACGAAAAAGCGGCTCTAAAGAAGGTGATACTGCCGAAACGTCAGCTGGCGTTGTATTGTATTCTGTTTTTCTATGGAACTAAATGTATGCTGTTTAAAAACCTCGCCATTACTGAACAAGAAAACGACACATTCATATTCCAATGCCGAGGTTAATAGAAAGTCGATCCTGTGAACTATTGAACAGTGTCACCGACACTGGGCGCTCTCTAGATATTAAATGAATGAAAAAGTATGGAAAAACAAGAATTATACGACAAATCTATTGAAACAGAGAAAAGACGTTCACCTGAAACTCTTTGCATTGGTCTAGGTGACCGAAGTCAGTTAGGTCTCCATCGATGATTAGAGCCGATGGAGGATATCGCATTCTGCTTATCAAGCGATCCAGAGCCTACCGTAGAAAAAAATCCGTAAACGATTTCGTATGTTTTAGTGAAAAATGAACCGCGATGCTTTGTTCCTCGGTCACCTTTTTTCTATCGTTTTTTCCTTTAAGCACAGTTCGTTAAGCAATTCATAAAATAACTGGTTGAAAGATTTTACGTTTTAAAGTTAAAAGCACAGTTAATGTGCTAATAGGTGCGAAGTGAATTGATGAATTAGTTATTACCACAGAAATGTTATGATTTATCGATGCATAACTTAAATTTTCCATAGAAGGCCAGTTTTTCTTACCAGCTATGATTGAGAAGATATAATTAGTGTGACGCAACCGAAGAGAATGAAGATTTCCCTTCCAGACGCTAACTCTTGAAGTTACCTGCCTCTGCACTCGATTTGCGTATCGGCTCTCAATCTTAATACATCTCTTCTGCCCTGCATGAGCTGTTTCGTTCAACGATGGTCCGGGCCGCAAATACTAAAGAAATAAACGAATTTGTTGTGAAACTTAAATGATAAATCGCAATTATTTGGAGAAGTCATATTCACTAGCCATACCAGTCCAGCTCAAATGGGGATAAAGCATGAAGCGTTCTACTTCGATCAATCGCTTAGGAAAGCGCCACATATTTTACTCCATTTAGCATCGTATACGTGATGCATACTGTCTTATACCAATGATTTGGAAAAAGTAGTGGTACCAGTGCAGCAAGGTCAGTGTTTTCTACTTTCATAGATAAATGTGGTTACATCCTGCCAACTCAGGAATCAGGTGGGATGGCTGTCATAGTTAACCCGGAGCACGAGATCAGACTAACGTGCACGAACTTATCAAATTGATGTTATCCTTCGATATCCACGATAGAATAATCTTAAATTGTTCCCAAAAATGTTAAACAACAATGCACTTTGTTCAAATTTTAAGTGTTCCATTTCGGTCCTCACAAGCTTACATAGTCTAGTTCGTTGCTTTTCCGACAATTTTTCGAGGCCATCTTGCATCTAACGTTTGTTGGTTCACATTTGTAATGGTACTGAGTATCTCCCATGAAAAGTAGAGACAACGTATCCTTAGGTAAGGCAAGAACATCGTCGAGGTCACGGGCCTCTCCCGCTAGGACCGTGGCTTGAAATGAGTTACTGGCACAATCACCTGAATAGTATTGTTAGATTTTATGAAAGCATACAAAAGAAGAGCAAATAATGAGTTAATTAAGATTTAGATGACGAACGAATGTTTTCAACAAATTCTTTAACGAGAAACTCTGGTTATCCACTTTTAGTGCTGTTCAGATCAGTGGGTTTTGAATTCAGAACTATATTTGGCCCGCTTGACCGAAGAGAAGAGGAAGCCTAGCTAATTCAACAGTCGCTGAATTGTGTTTGTAAAATGCACGTGCGGTGAACTAATTGCGAAAAAATGTACCATATTTTTGTTTAAAAGCAAAAGGCTGCAAGATAGTTCAATATTATCAGCTGAGAATTAAAGGGCTTGACAAAACGCTTCATATTCTCGCTAAAACAGCGATACATCGTTAGTAATGCAATTTATGACTGCAAAATTTATGACTGCACTATTCAATCAAGCTGCCGTGATCCACGAAAAGCTGGGTCTACGTTACTCTTCATTTTCTCTGCTACTTTATACTTCAAAAATTGAGGGTTTTATAATCTCCATCATTCTTCCACTTTGTCGATAATAGAATCATCTTACAATAATTACTAATTATTCTAAAATACTCGGGCATGGCCAGAAAGAGTAGCAAAGGCTGAAATATACTAACAAATCGTGTCAGTGTGATTGAAAACTCACAGAAAACAACACTGGATCCACCTAGAAGAACAAGGATACAACCACATATTGTTCTTGCAAGGCTAGTTAAAAGTGTTGTCCGCCCTCTCACAGCAATAGTCTGCGTTTTTAGAAATTAAATTGCTCTTTTTGTGGAGAGCGCTTTCAGATGACTGTATTGTTTTCTCATACTGCGCTCATGAAAGAGCTTTGAGCGAAAAACGCTATATACGAAATGGAAAAAACATATTGGAAAATCATACTGAAACAGCTGAGAATTGTAGACCTACCTGATGAAGCGATTATTAGAACAGCCACTGTAAACGATGACATGATGCAACGCATTGATGGCAATTCGATGTCGTCCTGAGCACTGACGAAATCGTAACAGAATTTCGCGTAGTTATGTTTGGTCACAAGCTTCAGTGTTTGTGTTCGTAGCAGCTTTTGCATTCACAAACAGGGTTGATTTCATGTTCTTCTTTAGTTTATGTAAACTGAAAATCTCCATTGTTTACGAAAGGCGTAGGCTTTCCACATGCCGGAGGTGGGAACTAATATAATCTCCGCCCTCTTCCCACCCACCAAAAGTCATATTTAACACAAAAATGAGCGAAACATAGGCGTGATGGCTATGAAGTGGTAGTGAGTTCGATAGCTCATCTCCTTAACGAAAATAGATCTGCTTCGTTTACCCTTTGTGATGCCGCTCTTAGTTAACTGTTTCCTTAGAAAAACGCCTTTAATAGCAACAAGTGCATTCCTTCTTAGATTTTATAGGGCTATACTACGCTTCAATTTAAATATGCAGAGTTAAGTGCAATAAAACGATATATTCTCATTAGTTTTTTTTTTATGGAAGTAAATGTATGCTGTTTAAAAACCTCGCGATTGCTGAACAAGAAAACGACACATTCATATTCCAATGCCGAGGTGAATAGAAAGTCGATCCTGGGAACTGTTCAAGTATGTCTGATAATTCGCCGATTATTGGAGATCATTTCTCGGACTTGCTTTCTCGAATAATTAAACGAGTGTCTACTTTAGCATAAACTCTACGGGTCACATTTGTATAACCTTTGTTACAACTGTTCCATAGTAAAGGACGAATGGCAGTTTTCAGGCGCACGACGGAAACATGGTGCAAACGGCGAAAATTCACGTCGAAGTGCTCTCACTCTCACCGACAACTCACCGAGGCAGCACTAGCACCGGAACAACGACGTCATCCGCCGTGGTTTTCCAGGAAACTACTCCTACTGACGTATTCCAGAGAAGTACTTCATCATTCACGACAACTACAACGCATGAAACTACCAAGGGCATCGAGATGATTAACACAATCGCTTCTGCGGTGTCGACAGAAAACAGCGTAGCTCACCAAACGGCTTTTTCGAATTCACTATCATTCACTGAGCTATCTGCCGGGCAGTTATTAGCTCAAGCCTCCGAAGCATCAGACAAAGAAAGGCTGGGATCAAATTCTTCTCACGATTTCGTCTCTCTTCCTCGCCAACCAATCCTTGAGTCTCATTTTAAGAGTTCGCTTTCACCAAACCTTGCGGACGGGTTACGAACAACGCAGACCACACCTTTTAAAGGTTAGAAAATTACTTCCGCAACAGATACTGGGAGTTCTTTGAGCTCTTGCATGAGGAGAGTTCTTACGACAACTAAAATCGAAGGTGGAAGCTCCGCTACGATTTCACCTAATTCACACCTTGATAAGAAAGCTAGGAAACGACTTTAAGCTATTGCTTTCAATAGTGAAACACTAATAATTGGAAACTCTTAGAAAAAGTTTTGGGTTTGAAAATTTTTTGTTCCCGTTTCAAATTGAAAACGGTGAAATCAGGGTTTTTTAGCAGTAAAACGGTGTGGTTAGCAGGAATGTAATCTCTGGAAGATGGCTTAAACGGAGTTTTTCGTAGTTGCCAGTACTGCACCACTTTTTAAATAATTTGTACCTCTCTCTTATTGCCAAAGAGTGCTTGTGTTTTTTTTTTAGAGCTGGAGCTTATTTTCGAAGGTGTTGAAAATAACACGCTTGAAATCGAGAAGCTGTTGAGCAAGGGCGACCTCCTACACGGGCTCGCACTTTCTGTGTTGTCCGACTCAGAAGTAAATTCCAAGTCATCTTATAAGTTATTTGTCGTGTTTCTCAGTTTGTCCACTCATCTCATTCTCAATGTTTTTTTTAAACAGCATAGATCTTTGATAGTGATTTGCAAAAAAGTCTTTAGGGAAAACGATCCCCAGTAAACCTGTCGCTCGACCGCTCAGACCTTTTCGATATCAGACCGAAGCTACTTTATCCAGGAAGCAAGGCTTACTTATTTGCGAAGGGTCGTCCTCTCGATGCTTCAACGATCCCTATCAAGGTTAGGATGGCGGAGGATTCGACAGTGCGAAAGCATTGAGTACCTTTGATATCTTAATAATCGAACAATTTTTACAGTCAAATGACAAAATTTAAGAGAATTGAATTGGTTCAGTGTTTTATTTTTTTCTGCTCAGATCACTGCTATAGCACCTGGATCCACTTCTACAAGAGAATTAGCTTTTATTAGTGTTTCGAGAGGACAGAATTTCACTGAGAATGTTGAGAGAGAGGACATGGTAAAGTGCCATTTCATTTCTTTGTGGGTGCTCAGGTGACGTCAACGTATTTAGAGCTCAGTCATTGAGTACGATCTGTTTATCCCTGAGAATGCTGAATCAGGATCTATAGTAGGACAAATAGAAGACGGAGAGTCGAAAAGAGTGGTTGGGCCGCCTGGACTGTGAGTGTTTCGAGCCGACGTTTGTTAAAAATCTCGAATATTTTGAAATATTACTCGATTTCTTTGAGAAGGCGATTACTTTGAATTTCTGAAGAAAAATTTTATAGAGAAGTTCAACCAAATTTGTTGAGAAAGAAATGCAGGCAAGCAATTCATTTAAACTAATTATGCACCCAATGTTCAGAGATAAGCTAGTATATTTGATAAATACTGGATCCTTCCGTCACCCTTGTCCCTAAACATCAATGGACATTAAACAATATTAAACATCAAACACGTAACAAACTATGTAAACAGTACGTCGACCGTCTGTGTCGTTTGTGATCCCACCGAAGTAAGTCCTGGTGAACGGCCATTGACGTTCTCATTCGTTAGTGTTGTTTGACCACGGCTTTCCCCTTTGAAGGAACACAAATAGCCTCATCCTCTAATTTCATGGCTTCCGTGATGTCTCTATATTCCGACTTTGCTTAGTATCTAATTTAATTTATCTCCATGGAGCGATTGACTTAAAGAATCGTTCTTTTTAAGAGGTGTGGAGTTACAGCGAAAGTCCGTACTGTGTCAGAAATGGGTAGTACTTGCCGAAGTTTATAAACTCATTCCACCCTTCATGGATGCTATAGTGCCCATATTGAATTTAATGGGTTCCAACGTTTTTCTTTTTTATACCGCTCTATGTATATCAATTCGATAGTTAATCGAAACGAGACCAAAATACAAGGGGTAGGGGCAAAAGCGGCCTTCCCTGCACCAAATCATTTGCAAAACTACCCTGTCGGACGAATTCATTTTCCCAATACGCCCCAAAATAGGACACTTCGAAAAATACACTGTACATAAGGAGACATCTGAAGACTTTTTACATGTTACTCAGTAATAACTATATAGTTAACGCCAACAACATTACAAATAGCGTCTCAAGGAATCAAGCATCTAGGAAACGCTTGGCATCAACGAAATAGTTGGTCAGCGATGAGATTTATCGCACTGCATGTTTGTAAACAGTTCTCAATCCTTGCTCTCATAATTTTCCACCGATGTCTTTGAGAACTGAAAATAATATGTATTCTTTCTTTGATGCGCTGACACGAGGTTGAGAATGATATTCATTCATTTTCGGCTAACGTTTCGACGTCTTCGTCTTCCTCAGAGCCGATGATCCGAGTCGATGGTCCATGCTTGTTCTTTGTCTCGACGTTGCAGCTTCGCCTTCGTGTCGAGTCAGGTCTTCCTCAGTGAGCCATCTTCTCGAATGAGGCATCCTCACTCAGTGACTGAAAATAATTCTTAAAATCAGTTACAATATCATCTAAAATTTCCGTAGTCTATCAAATTACTAGTTCACATTTAAACATCCGCGGGGTCGATGGTTATTCATGGGCCAGCATAGAAGTCCTTTTTGTGTTGTCTCCCAGTTTCATCTAAGCTTGGGACAGCGATTGTTGAATAATTCAGCCCTTTTTTTTTCTTGAGCAGACACGGAGACGAGATTGTTATTACCCATTTGTTCACCATAGCTAACGTTTCGGCGATTTCGTCTTCTTCAGAGCATGGAAAGGAATTGCCATGCACTCTTCTACGCCAAACACTTTCATAACCTCAGCAGATAAAACTTAATACATAAATTTTCATTCATTCACAAAAAAAGCTGCTTTTAAACGCTCACCGTTTTATTCCTCGTAAGTCTTTCAGTTGTACTTTTGAAACCGACCGTCCTTAAACCTCGGTAATAACCTTCCAGTTATTGTTGAAGACCAGCAACACAGAGAGAAGGATCGTTCAGCAATCGATTGCTCGATCATCCCATATCCCTATTCCAAGGAACTTGAAAACTTCCTTCAATTGCACAGACAGGACACTCGGCAATATCCAGTGGTTTCGTATGCATCGCCGCATTCGTGATTTTGACAAGGATTCCAGCTCCGTTAACACCATTGATACTCGATGGTAAACTTGACATGCGAAGTTTTTCTGCATCAGCTTCTGTATTGTTGCCGACCTCTAAAACGAATTCCTCTTCTGCTTAAACGTTAGTTCAGGGTGGAGGAGGTCAGAGCTTCATAACATGGGTAGTTTACTAGTGATCTTCGTTGAGGTGTTTTCGGGTCCGGAACATAGCTTTTTCGGAGCGAGTGCACCTTATGTTCAATGTTTGAGGGTGTGATACATGGCTATGATTTTCATTTAGAAAACGGTGATAGAAGTCGTTCTTCGTCAAACTGTAGTATAAATCTATTTACATAGGAATGCTGAGAATGCAGGTATTTTTGTAGACTTGGAATCATTTCGGGTGACCGTAAACTCGGCACATCAACGTCGCATCTTGTCAAGCAAGGCAAAATGTTGGAGCTTAATTTGCCTTTTCTAGCCGAATCACTCTACTAGTTGGGGTTAACACAAGGACTGGATGAATCTATCACTGAGATTTGTCTGCTTTGCTCAGGGACTATGTGTTTACATATGTGGACTTCGTTTAAACACAGTCTGTCGTCTGGTCACATTGCACAAAGCTCCTAATCTTTTGGTCTTTTTATTGAGGGAGCTTCTAGGTGTTCACATACTTTAATATTACCACATAAAAAACCAGACGACAAGATGTATGTTGGAAAAATCACAGCTGACCTATTCTGAAGTTTGAGCGAATTTGGTATTTTATAATTGAATAGAAATCGATCAATTTGCCTATTCACTGAGAAAGGGGGAGCTCGGAGTTAAAGTTCCAAAAATATGAGCCATTACTTTTCTTGACTTAAAAATGTCTTGCTGTCAGTACAGAGGACTAGCGCCTATAAATAAATTTTCAGATTCTGCATTTCTAATCGCATCTTCTTGGTTTCATCTAAAGTGAGCATACGACCAGAGCTAGACAAATGTTTCTTTCCATCCACATTAACAAAGAGTTTAAAAGCTACAAAAAGTCAATGGATTAGGCAAAAATAATTGATAACCTCTACTGGTCAAGGGGAGTAGACCTCTTTGATTTTCATTAGCAGCCACTCTGTGATACGGCGATTTGTAAAAGTTGAAGTTCGTTCATCTTTTAACCCATCAGAGCTTTCATTTAAGCCAGCACTAGGTATTTTATAGACCTTCATCGTTCTTTTTCCGATACTCAAGAATTGCTTGATAAAAAACCACGATTATTGTGTCTCGCTGTGCAGATCTGGATCTGCATCTCTTCGTTCAACAATTCTCTGCAGCTTTTTCTCTATATAAGGAAAAATTTACTGTATGCCACTCTTAACCAAGAAGATTTTACCAGGTAAATACAAAATAACAGCATATTTTGCCGTTATGGATCTCACAGTGCTGCGTTGTGCATTGCTTGCATTGTTGCTGCATGACATTTCAAAGCATATTTCTTACTCACTTATTTTCCATGACAAACTTTTCCAAGCACTAAATGTACAACGTTCTCTAGATTGGTTGAAATAGTACTCTAAAAGCGTGTGAACTGTTTCGTTTCATAAGATCAAATCTGGCTACACCACCATGGAATGAACTAGAAATGTCAACGAAGCATGGAATAGGGCAGCACTTTTCCGAGGGCTCAAAGCGTAGATGGTTCGAAAATTTTTGTAGCGGAGATGCGAATGTTCATTAGGAAGAAGTTCGCACGCGTCCACATGCAGTTGACGAAGACCATCTGAAGTGGATAATCAAAACAGTTCCTCGAAAAACCATTGAAAATGTCGCAGAAGCACAAGACGTGAACTGCCGATAGTCGGCCGTCATTTCAATTAGTGAAAAAGCTAATCGGTTGTTAGACTCCGCGCTACAATTACATAACAAAATGACCCATCTCTCGATCACACTGTGAAGTGTTATGAAAACTGGGTTGTATGAGACTATAGACGGCAGTCAGCTCAGCAGTTGAACCGAAATACAGCTCCTGAAAACTTCCAAGAACTGAATTCGTGCCAAAATAAGATTGTGGAGAGTATACAGTAGTAAGAAACTGGACTAATTCGCTGTGATATTCTAAGACCTGGTGAAACGATTGCAGCAGGGTAACACCGTTGTGATGTTAGTGGAATTCGTCAAAAATTGAGGCGTACATATCTAGCGCTGATTAACAGAATAGTTCCAATTCGTTTGCAATGGATGCATCGCTCGACCACACGTTGTAGAAGTTGCTGGGGTTAGGCAACAAAACTCTACTTCATCGAATCTCTTGCCAATCATCAATCAACTCTTCCAAGCATATCATCAAATTCTGGTCCACAATATGTTTAACAACTGAACCGTTGAACATGTCTTCACGAGTTTGGTTATTTTCAGAAGGTAGGAAAATGATTCTATCTCAGCAAATCATATCTTGTTGCAAAAGTATGCAGGTCCTAGTGGTTCTCGCTCCTATCAATAGAGTTGTATTCGAGTCAAGCCATAGCATTTTAAAGTCTCCATTCAAAATCCGCCGTAATTTTTTAGCTTGTGTAACGAAAAGTTTGTGTTATATCGGGAGTCTAGGCCTGCTCTTTAGAGTTGCCTATAGAGACGCCGTTGTGCTACATCGTCGTATTAGTTCTTTCCCGTTATACCTATCCCTTATACTTGTAATGGGAAACGAGACTGCAGAGAATCGCCATTTCGCAGAAGTTATTACTATCAGAAATTTGCTACCACTATTTATTAATTACCTTATTGGCTTTGTAATAATTACCATTATTGCTGCGATTATCGATCTGTTTCCTGTTAAATAAACAAAGTTAATCAACTAGTGAAAACATTGGTGTTAGACCGTAATCCGTGAAATAACACTATGCAGATGTAAAAAGTGCGCATTTTGGTAAAGACAATTAGTTTTAAAATGCTCCAGATTCTCCCTTCTTGGATCGGATCTGATTCTCTCTTGTCCAGATGAAGGCAGCTGTCTCGACTTTGAGCAACAGCCAACCCACTACGTACTACTCGTTGATGCACAAGGTTTGTGAAGCCCTGGAATAGAATAAATTTTTACTTGGTAAGAATCCACGGTGCTGCTGTGTTTCAGGGAAGAGGTCTTCAACAGCGTATGTGAAGATCAACGTACTAGACGTCAACGACAATCGACCCCGTCTCCAAACTTCCGATCATTACATCCGACTTTCCCATAATAGGCTTGTCATGCCATTCATCGTACAGGTGCGATTCTACTGGATATTCGCTTGTGATTCCTAGAAATTATACAACGCTCCTACTATGTAGGAGAGGAATAAACAACTTTCGCAAGGTTTCAAAACTACGGAAACCTCATAGCGATTTTTATGCTCAGTTCTCTAAAAAAGAAGAGAGAGCAAACGGGAATTGATTTAAGCAGATTGCTGAATATCCTGCAGCCTAAGCTACATCACTGTAATGGAAGTATTTGGAAAAACCATAAGAGCCAAAGGACCAGCACACAACAACTTGGTTATGAGTCCTTGAGATATGTGGTAAAGGAATCCAATCATGAAGTCAAGATGTTTTCTTCATTCGTCCATCGTCCAACTTTGTCGGCTAGCCTGGGCTAACCTGTGATCCTGCTGGTCTGACCGGTTGTTAGAGTTAAGCCAGCAACCATATCAACAGCTGTTATACTTTGTATTCTGTGACGATTTGCTCGAACTATTCGTGTTCTACGATTAATGGAATCAGGTGATTAGCCACAAGTCTTTTCGTTTCGTAATTTCCTAATTCTTTAAATGCGTAGTTCAAGTCAGAATCACTTAATGCGATTATCAGCTTAACGATTTCGAAACATGGTATAGAACAAGGATGAGCATCGTTACGCGAGCCTTTTGCCATCATTGTTCTATAAAACTTTTTTTCGTTTTAGAATAAGCGTCGTTGTCGAAAATAGTGATAGCCTAATTATTGTACATGAGCAAAGTTCCTAAACTTAAAAAAATTTTTTGACGGGAAGTCGAAACCCCATTTCGATGGTGGCTATCGAAGCAACGACGAATTAGCTAAATAAGTACTTGTCTTGCCAACCTCGCGTCAATGATATGGAAAAATATTACGACGAATATGGTGTTGCATAAAAGGATAAAACTCTCGGTGTTGATCCATCTTTGAGAGTTGCGCCATGTATTCGACTTCATTAAGAGTCGTTGGAGGTGATTAAATACTTTTCTGGCCTTTACAATGATTCTCGAAGTCTTACCAATGTATCGAGTCAGTGCTGCGATCCTCTCAAACAAGTCTGGTACCAATTTGCCGACCTCAGAGGAATGGAAGGCTTGGTGAGCCCTGGGTGCGGGGACCGATCCTGTGTGTGTATGTGTGTGTTTGTGTTTGTGTTTGTGTGTGTGTATGTGTGTGTGTGTGTGTGTGTGTGTGTGTGTGTGTGTGTGTGTGTGTGTG